GTACCATGGACTGCTAGGAAAACAAATAGATTCATCCTTGAAAGTGTTAAACCAGGTGGCTCCTTGGAGGCAAGGATTCTTAGTTTAAACTCAATGTTATACAACAATGAAAATATAGAGAGAAAGCAGCTCAACCAGGCAGATGGACTTCCCAGTGGGGGACAGTCACAAATGGAGACAGAGATAAGAAGTAGAACTTGGGACTGACTGGGCAGGTACAATGGGAAAGGAAGCCTGGGATCCCTAAGAGATCCTAGGAGGAACATCGAGCTTGGAAAGGAGCCGGAGACCTGGGAGGGTCTGCTGGGAAAGAGCTATTATGACAGTCAGACTTCAACTCTGACTGACATTCTTTCCAACTCTAAACCTGGATCATCATCAGTGCCTGCTCTCAGGGGCCACTCCTGGGTTTGCATGCAAGGAAATCTCTGCAACTGCAGTTACAGAAGCCATCTCTAGCACTGACCCCAAGCTAGGAGATGCAGCCCCAAACAACCATCAGCTAGGCAGTGTGCTCTCCAACCTGGAGGTGGTGGTGGTGAAGAGGCACTGGGGATTGAACATGCAGCTGCGATGGAAAAGGAAAACTAGGATGTGATCAGAGCCTTGACTCAGGAAGGGGACGGAGATCTGCAGAGGCTTCCTAGGGGGCGTGATGCTTCAGAGGAATACAGAGATGGCTAACGTGAGAAATGCCAAGGGGTAAGAAGTGGTCCCCACTCACTCCCAGCAGAGGGAGCAAACTCAAGGGGCAAAGATGCAGCACAGAGAGGTGGAATGGTTGCAGTGTAGATGTTTATTCTCTGTCCTGAGGGTAGTAAAAGATTTTAAGCAAAAGCGTGCATTTTAGGTGGGTCCCTGACTGCAAAGTGAAGAACATATTGGAAATCTGAAGGCAAAGAGGCAATTATGGGGGTTACTACAGAAATTTGAGTGACAATGACAGTCCAAAATAGAGAAGTGATAGTGGGTATGGAGAGAAGAGATGTTGAGAAGTTAAAGCACAAAGATTTGGTAAATGAGTGGATATAGTTGGGCATGCAGAGATGTGGTGAAAGAGAAAAGAGGAGAATGTTCGAGACTTCCAGGATCAGGCCTGCGGGGCCACCTGTCACTCAGAGGAGCAGGCGCAGAGGGGGAGGGGAGTGAAAAGCCAGATGGTATCATTTCTCGGGAAATAGAATGAGATACTATACTTCGTGCAACGCCTGGTTTCACAATTTCCCCTTTTAGAACAGGACAAGTCTCAAGATATAATTTTGTTGAATTCTTTGCAGGGGGACGAGGAAGGCGGGATGTGAGCATTCTGCATTGGCACGCTCTTTCAGATAATCTGTCTCCTGCTTTTTATAGCAAACACTACTGCACTATTAAAAGCACCCCGTGCATTCTAGGCCTGCGTGGCTGCGCCTGGGGGCAAGGTGCTGAAAACGTAGCAGCCAAGCTTTGTTCCAGTTCTAATGCTGCCCACCCAATATTTTCCAGATTTCCTTTTTAACAGTAAAAGAAATAGTGCTTCCACATGCCGTAGCTGTGCTTTTAGTATCTGCAATTGAAAGATTCCATGACAAACAGTTTTTATGGAGTCCATGGCACTTCCAGCAAGGTTATCTTTTACTAATTGCATCATTCATTCATGAGAGACATCATTTTTTCACTCTACAGACAAAACTTGGTGATTAATTGCAGTCTCAGGCCCATGGCCAGTCCTGTGGGGTCCTCAGGATTGCGACCAGGCTCTAGTAATATGGTGTCACATACTGCTCCTCCTCTTCTCTTTCACTCTATAAAAAATTTGTTTCTTAATCTTGGTGCTTGACCATTTTGCTGGGTAAATCCTGGTTGCAGTTTGAGGAATGCTCTGTGCAGGATGGGATGTTTGGTCTTCTGACCTGTACTCACTGAATGACAGTGGTACCCACCCACCCCCTTATAACAATCTCAAAGGCCTCCAGAGATTACTAAATGCCACCAGGTGGCAAAATCTCCCTTGCCTGAGAACCACTGGTCTAAATGAAAATCTAATAATTCTGTTACATTCAAGGCCGAGGTGTGCTTGCGGCTTTCAAGTAAAATCAGAGAGACCACGGGTGCTTACCTGTCTTCACCAGGAGCTTATTGGACATCTGACACTCCAGGCTGGACACTATTTTACCAGTCGTGACCACGTCAGTAGACACGGCGGGGAGAGCAACATCTGTGTGTTCCGCTGGCCAAGGTGGCAACCGGGTGGCCTTGACCGAAGCCGTGATGGATGTCAACGCCGCTGTGATGGTCAGCGGACGTGTGGTGGATGCTCGGGGCATCTCTGGGCTGGTGGGACTGAGGGGGTCTGTGTGCATGGCTTGTGGCTTCCTGGGGAGGTGTGTTGTGGACAACAGGCCAGAGGCAGTGCCTGTGTTCCCTGGCATGGCTGTATGTGAGCTCACGGTATGTGCTGTCCTTGCAAACATGTAGGTAGGTGTGAACGGGAAGGGTGTGTGGAAGGCCGCTGGGGTCGCCTTGGAGATTGGGGCTGCCTTGCTTGTGACATTCTTTGCTAATGTGGTGGTCAAACTGCTCTTGGATAATCCCGCAGCCACAGCCGACGGGCTGCTGCCGGTGCCTTTAGCGACCAGGGCTGCAGACAGTGCAACTGGACTGGATCTCTTCAGAAACACTGTGGCGGCTGATGCTGCTAGTGGCGCTGCCTGAGACGACACTGAGGGGTCCACTGAAATGAGAGACAAAGCCATGTTTGTTAGCAGCCCCCCCAGTGCTCGGACCCCTCGTTCCGGTGATGAACTGATGTAACTTATGGGCTTGCCATGGTGAAAAGCATCTGAGCCTTGACCTTGCAGTGGGGAGAACTGAGAGGCAAAACAGCTTTGGGCTCATTAAGTTGATTAACCATAATGAGAACGCCATTGATAGCAAAGCTGTGTTTGGCCGTAAGGACACTTAAATTGGGAATACTTTTAGAAAAAACCCTATCAGGCAGAGGGTCAATGGCATGACATGACTAGTGGGGTGCTAACTCATTGTTCTAAGCATGTATACCCCTTCATAGGGAAGCCACTTATTGATGTCGCAATGGAAGAGGCTTTGGCCATGGGAGTCATACCTATAGATCTGGGACCAGGAATCAGACTACCTGTATTAGTGGGTGCCCCTGTCCATTGCTGGGGTCGCTGAGAAGCCAGCAGCACTTGGGAGGGTGTCCTGACCAAGGCACTGGGTGTTACGGGAGGAGAGTCGGCAGCAGAATGAGCTCCCAGGAGACTCTGGAGCGGTGTGGGAGCCTCGATCCCGGGTGATGAATAGATACTGCTGGATAGCTGGGGGCTTGTACCCGCATCATCTGAAAGCATCATCTCATGCAAACGAGCTGGAGAAGTAAGACTTGGAGGGGTTGGCCGGACAGGCAGTTGTAAAACAAGATGAGGCTCAGAATGTTGGCTTGCAGATGGGTCATCTCCAACCACAGCTGTTTCAAAGTCTCTGGTCTGCCTGTTATTGCTTGTGAGCCAGAAGCTGGCATTCTTTCCAATCATAGTATTGTTTGGCTGTTGTACGGACTGGCTTACACTTATACCAAGCAGTGGATCCTGAATGCTAAAGCCTTCTGTAGTCACCGACTGCCCAGCAACATCCACTATGTTCTGAGTGTTTATTACACCAGCAGCTGAAATAAACCCATGGGGAACAGTAGAAGCAAGATGAGTTTCCGAGTTTGTGAAGCTGGGGGTGTGTCCATTTAAATCATAATTTGTTTGCTGCAGCAAGCCAGACAGGGTTGATTCTGTGGAAGGCAATCCCATTTCTGCTAAAAAGGGATTCCAGAAGACATCTGTGACGGCTGGTTTTCTCACGTGCCCCATTGTTGGAGAATCATATACACCAGGGGGAGAGGAGAATGCTGTCACCTGCTTGGAAGCAGAAGCTGGGAATTGAGAAGAGTCGCTGGCAGCTGCAGAAGTCTCCGGTTTGGTCCTGGAGGAGCGAGGAGAGGGAGAAGCAGTCTGTGTGGTTGGGATGGAGGGGATGGGAGGTGGCGACAACTCTAAAGGCGTGAGTTCTGTTCCCAGTGCTGTAATGACAGGCGATGAAATAGGATTAGCGCTAAAATCAGCCATGAATCTGCTTACAGTGTGAAGACTTGAAATCCCTTTACTTGGAAGGGCCTGGAGAGGAACTGTCACGTCGGCTTTCTCATGTTCCTTTAAAACAACTGTCGCTCGACCCTCTTTGTGCAGACGTGTCCAAGGCCTGGAAGGAAGATCAGGAACCAGGCTGGGGCGGGGGATGTCTGTGGTTGCAGTGGGAGGAGACTGGCCATGGTGCTCTTCTTGAACTGGCATTTTTGGCACGCTGGCTGGAGAGGCATGACCTTGCGCCAGCTGGTGGACGGTAACCGTAGAGGGCAAGCCTGCCATGCCATTCGACGGTGCTGCAGGAACTGGAGACGTGGCTTCCCCATGACTCGTGGAAGGCAGAGGTGGCACCAGAGAGGAAGTGTGTTCAGCTGAAGGGGCAGGCTCTCCGAAACGCTCTGGAGCTGCTGACAAACGTGACGGGGGAGGAGGGTCACTGACACGGGCAGGCTTTCTGCTGGCCTTGCCTATGGCCACCGAGTCTGTGGCCTGGAAAGGCAACTTCTTAGTCTCAGGGGCCATTTCTGTGCTCTGAAAAGTCTGCAAATGCACTCCAGTGTGCGTGCTTTTAGCCACTTCCATTTTGCCGGGCTGTGTAGATGTAGGGCTTGAAGTTACTTCCAACTTTGACAAAGAAGGGGTTCCTCCTGGAAGCCAAACAGGACTTCCTGGGGCTAGGGGAGGGGAAGAGAGGTGGGCCAGGTCTGCCACAGGCCTCCAAAGCCCAGGTGTGGGGGGCCCTGTGGAATGGGGACTGTCTGCTGGGGAGGGCTCAGAATATGGCTTCTTGGAGGATCTGAAAAAAGCTAGGCCAGGGATGCCTATTGATTCCTGGATGTTTCTGGATGGAGTTTGGCTCGAGTCACTGGCAGATGGGCTTAGGGTGTTAGCTACACTCAGACCTGAGGAGTCAGCTGGAGTTCTCTGAGGGGCTACAGGCACTTTGGTGGGTCGCTCTGCGGTCTTGGAAAAGATGATGGAATGAGGTGAGTCAGGAACCAATGACGAGGATGAAGGTGAGGGGAGAGATGGGAAAATGACTGGCTTTGAAATGGAGGGACCCCCCACTGGTACAGCCCTCAGGGATGTCACTGAAGGGACCATGGACCGCAGGGAGGGCATGCTGGTGTAAGGCAAACCTGACTCATCGGCTGCTTCTTCTCCCCCTTGGCGTCTGGGTTGGCCCAGGGACTTGGAATCCATAGAAGGCTCCAGGGAGGTGCTATGTCCGCTTCCTTGGTACAGAGAAGGAGAGCCATCCACTGGGGCCCTCGTGCGGCGGTGTGTTTTGGGCGAAGGCGTTTGGGCGAACTGGAGCAAGGTTGTGTTGTCAGGCGTCAGACCCAGCATGCCCCTGGTCCTGTCCACTGCTGAGGAAGATCTGGCTTCTGAGAAAGGCCATGTTGGTGAGATTGGTAACAACGTATGGCGAGGAAATGACTCTGGGGTTGGGGCGACACGTCTCTGCAGACTCTCTGCTCCTGTAAAACAAAACAACAAGCAGTCAGGTCATGGTCGGCTCTCAAGTGCCTGCTCTGGACCGGCACCGGAGATAAGAAGGGGACGAGATGGGCACTGCCTGGACCTCGTGCTTCGGCTCCATCACCGAAGGCTCGCTAACCAAATCCAAACAGTGAGCAACTCACAAAAGTAAGTTTTTCAGTCAATTCCAAGTCACTGCAACACGGTGATGCAAAGCAGAACTGCTCCACAGAGTTTCCAAGGATTTATGGGAATAGATTGTTACATCATCTCCTATAAGTGGCTGGATTGCAACCACTGACCTTTGTGGAACGTTGGAAACAATCACTGCACCACCAGAGCGCTTAAACTGCAAACTGAGTAACTGCAAATGCCCAAAGGGCTACAGTTAACATGGGAACTCTGATGGCACAGTTGGGAGGGGGCTGAGCTGCTAACGTAAAACTGGCGCCTCTCTGGCAGTTCAAATCCACCAGCAGCTGCTCACGAGAAAGATGAGCAATCTCCTCCCGTGTGATCTGCCCCCTGAAAGAGCAGAGTCTGCTGTTATCCACAGCCATGAGTTTGAGTTTTGAGTGTGATAGCTATTATATGGATCAGGTTGGTGAGAAGTTACCTCTGATGAAGTGATAGTGAAACAAAGACTCTGAAGACTTTAATTTAACCTCCCCCCTCCACCTCTAGTGGCCTAGTGGTAAGAAGCTGTGCTGCAATCCCAAAGGCACAAAGTTCAAATCCACCAGCTGCTCCTTAGAGGAAAGATGGGCAGTTTCCTGCCATATGATTTACTGCCTCTTGCTGGAGGGCTAGCTATGAGTCAATTCTGACTCAATGGCACACAACAGCAACAACAACAACTACCTATGAGGCTTGGAATGTGAAAATCACAGCCTAGATGATCAAAGACAAATGTGGCAACCTGCTGTGGCTGATAACACAAAAAATAAACCTGTTCCAGGAAGCCAAAATGTAACAAAAAAGAAGAACCCTGAGCATGGCTCCTGCTTCCAGACTCTCAGGCATTTCAAGCAGAATCTCCATGGCAGCTTGTATTTAGACAGATTACTCCTCTGAGACCTCTTTCTCTTTGTGGACTCCAGAAGATTCCTGATGTTATCAGTCACATTATGTCAGGTAGCCAAGGGAGCTTACTCCAGATTAGACCCTCACAGAAAAGCTATTCATAACCCACCTTCGGTTAGTGACACCTCCCACCAGGCCTGCTGTCACTACAAGCACCTGCAGAGACGAGAACTCTCAGAGCAGGTGTGTGAGACCACAGGAATACAGGAGAGGGCACAAGGTGGTGAGCTGCAGCTACAGCAAAGGAAATGATTGACCAGAAAGCTAGGCATTTCACACACTCGGGAAGAGGAGGATGGACTTGATGATAGTGGCAGCAGACTAGATGGTGGCGGCTGAGTTGGCAGAACACCAGTGTTCAGTATAAGACAGAGCTGCGCGAGGTTTGCCGATCCTTAGAGCTGCAGCCCGGGGCCTTCAGGTCCAGACGCACTGGCGAAGTGAGGGTGGTGCATAACTGACAAAGCTAAAAGAGCTTCCTAACACTTGTACAGGCAGGGCAGAGACCAAGGCCATGAGGCTGAAATAGAGACAGGGCCAGCCTGAAAGCAAGCAGAAGAGGAGGCTGTCCTGATTGAAGAAATCTATCTATCAGCCTGAACTGTAGCCCATCACACTTCCCTAATAAATCCATCAGGAGCTCTGGTAACCTGGTGGTAAGGAAATGCACTGCCAACCCAAAGGTATGTGGTTTGAATCCACCAACTGCTCCATGGCAGAAAGATGAGTAATCTCTCCTGCTATTTAAAGCCTCCGAAAATGCACTGGAGGAGTCAGTTACATATCAGTTCTAACTCCCTGGGAAATACCAACAATATACCCATACCATGAGTACTGTCCGTGAGTTCTACAAAGTGTCAATGAAACTCGTAGTAAGACATCTGTAGCACAGGTGGGAAGAAGTAGAGCTCTCTTCATTCAAAGTCCGAGTTGGTGCCATCTTCCTAGAAAGACCTGAATAGACTTTCAAGAAGTTGGACTCTATGAAGAAAAATGTGTCATCAAGATCTGAGGAAGACTCATCAACAACTTGGATC